AAAGAGGCAAACGCTGAAGCAGCCGACCTTCGCACTCGGGTGGACAAACTCAAGTCCAGGTTGCAGAACCAAAAAGTCCAACTCGCCAAAAAATATACTTCAAGGGTTGAGGAGGAAAAAGAGGCCCTGGTTAAACAAATGATGGATGACTGCAACGCCATCATGGAGATGACTTGGGGGGCTCTCTTCCCGGATGTTAGCTATGATGGCTGGAAGAATCAGTTTGCCGCCTCTTCTCAAGAGTATAATGATTAAATCATGAACCAAGCCCAAAAGGAAGAGGAAGATGAAGAGGAGGACGAGTCGTCTAATTCGGTCGAGGGGTCCGATCAAGAAGAGGAGCAGGATGTTGAAAAGGAACAGGAGCCGACTGGGGAAGAGAAGGATGTGGCTGTTGATACTGAAAAGCCTCCTCTTGAAGCTTAAGTCTTGGGTTGTTTTTTCTACGGCCGGATGGCCATGTACTTATTTCTTCGGCCTGCGTGTCGTATGTTTCAATGTATCTTAACCGACCAAGGGGTCGGGTTTATAAACAATTCTTGTCGGTTGTACCGGTTAACTCTTTTTCTCGGTCATGAGGCCGACTATGTTTATGAATCATCCGGCCATTTGGCCGGTTTCACCAATTCACACTAGCTTTAAATTTTTTCATTTCAAAAATTTTTATTAAGTATAACTTGCTTTTTGTTTGAATGCTTTTTTCATTATACCGATTGTTTTTGCCCCTGGGCGGCTGTGCGCCTGGTTTTCAAAGGTAAATTGATTGACTTGGAAATTTTTGATACTTTAAGGAGTATGAATGATTTCTAAGTCAATCAATCACTATGGTGATTACCCCAAACTAGGCGGACAGTCGGCCATTGCACAGGCGGGTAAACGTTCAGCATTATCCGGCCTTCGGCCTCATTATAGCTCTTAAGACGAACCACGCTTAGCTGCTAAGTTTTTATGATACCTGTACAATAGCAGGCGTCAAACGGGATATCTAACCAACGTAGCGACCGCTTGTTATATTACAGGCAGTAGCTTTAATTATCTTGGTTTCGTTAACCTAAGTAGGAATAGTGGGCGAATACCGACTGGTGTCAATAAGGCAGGCAGTTTTGTTCGCACCGTTTAGGTTCCATTTTAGGTTATTCAGGTCGAACGACTATGAGTTAACCCTTTGGGTTAATTAATCTTTGTCGTTTGATTTTGAGTGTATAGAAGAAGCAGACGGCCAATGGCCGCATGTAGTTGCTTCGCATGTTTAGCTACTAAGTTTTGGACTTAGCGTATTTTTTCAATTAGCTGCTAAGTTTTGGACTTAGCTTATATCCTCAAATATAGCCGTCTGTATTGCCCCTGAGCAATTATAGGCGGTATCTGACCAAGATTATAACTGGTTACTGCTTGTCTGAAACACTCGGCAGTTTTTGTTATCTAAGTCTCATTTGATCAATTCAAACGGCTGCAAGCTTATCTTTAACTAGATAGTCGGTGGGGCCGTTTGTTTTCAAGTTTATAGAGCAATGTGCCACCCAAATGGGAGATGCTTTATGTGACGAATTAACCTAAATGGGTGTCGCCGCACGCCTTCTCATGTAGGAGAAGATGTATTTTTAATACATTAAGATCATCTGACCATAGGCCTCATTTAGATCATCCGGCCATAGGCCTCATTAGGTTGTTCTAAAAGGAACAACACATAGCTGCTAGTTTTTAAACTTAGCTTATATCTACTCTTGTTGGAGTAGATGGGAATTTGTAATAAGGCCGTCTGCACATTGCGTAGGCGGCCCTCCCATTGGGAGGATGCAAGCAAGTAAAAAAAAAAGTATTAAAAACAAACAACTTTTTATTGATATGCTTTTATTTACAAAAAATTTACAAGTCTCAGAAGTAGTACTTTTTCAAGTTGTCCATGTTCTCAAGTGTGTTTAATTCTGCAATTAAATGCTCTCACTGAATGTTTGTGAATTGTTGTTCCCGTGGTGGGAACATCTTCCCTTTATAGGGTCTCGAAGTACGTTCCCAGTCCTAGGTTACGGAAACCTAGGACTGATTGGGCTGCCTAGGAGTTTGGGCCTTGAAGGCAGCCATTTCTAGCTGGATATTTGTCTGCCGCGTGTCGTGCCCTGATTGGTCCACTTTGGACTCTTCACTGAGTGACACGTGGCGGACTTTGTTTGGTCCACGTGGATGACACATGGATTGGTCCACGTGGCGGGGTAAAAATCCCCTAATCAGTTAGTGCATAGTTTTCCTCTCCCATAGTTTAGATTTTCAAAAACTCAATCATTTGTAAGAATCAATTGAAGTTTGTTTTATCAATTTCAACAATTTTTCTAACCTTGAAGCATCAATTCTAGTAATCTCCTTCCTCTTTATCTCTTGTTAATTTTTTGATTTTATATGTTTTAATTGCTTTATCTTGTCTCTAATTCTCGTTAATTGTTCTTGCATGTTCAATCTATCCTTGATTTATCACTCTCCTAGTTTAATTGAACTCATGAAAAACCCTAGATATTAATGTTAGAGTAATTCCCACCATTTTTAGTGAGTAGTTCCTTAGTTAGGGGTTGGGTGAAAATCCAACCAAACCATGGTTGATTGACTTGGATTTCCTTATGTTCTACTATGGGTTGATGTCTCTTTGCGCTTGAATTGATTATTGCATGTGTATTTTGGTGGCCACTTCATGTTCATGTGTTCATTTCCTTACTCACATTGAAAGATGGGGTTTGGTAATGAGTCATTTCTTGTGCAATTAGATTATGTTATTTTCATGACTTTGGATGTTTGGTTTCAATGACTAAGATGCTTTAGTGTGGTAATTAGGTGAGAAATCCCAATTATTTGTGCTTCATGCTAGCACGGAACGATCGATAGACAAACTCGAGCTAAAAACTCACTTCCTATCATTGAGAATTACTCTTTATCATGTTAGTGTTTGATTTAAGGAATGCTTATGTTGTGACTTTGAAAGAAGACAATGTTAAGTTCCTATTCTATCACCCATGTATGTTCATGTTTTATCCTTGTTATTGATTATATGGTTTAGTTAGCGTTGAATCCTGTTTCCCCTAGCGTTCATCTCCATTGAAGTTAACTAATCAAACACCAATTTGTGACCGGACTAGCTTACAACCGTTTCATACTCTTGGTGTTCTTTACCCATTCCCTGTGGATACGATCCTCTACTTACCCTAGACTTGTCGTAGGTTGGTTTAGGTATAAATATTGTTTGGTTTAGGGTGATTGTCCAACGACCAATTTATCCTCTACCAAAATGGCGTTGCCGGGTAATGGCGTTAAGCATTTAGTTACTTGTGAAATATGTGAGACTAGTTCATTTTATTCTTTATTTTTCTTTGTTTTTCTTCGACTAACCTATTAATCTCCCATCTAGTCTTCTTTGTTTTATTCCTAAACGCAGCAATGGAGCACTCCCTCTTGAGCCATTGAACCTCGAGCTTGAGAAGGTAGTAAGGGCAAATCAAAGAGAAAAGAGGGCGAGAGCTAGTGGTGCTACTTCAAGTGAGCCACAAGTGGTAGTTGAGTCCGACCATTCTAGTTCTAGCGAGTCTAGTGGAGACACCATTCCATTAAAATTACCAAGGACAAATTCTCCAACTTTTCCACCTCTACATCAATTTGAAATGGCTCTTCCAAACAAAACATTGAGGGAGTTTGATGTTCCTCCACCATATCAAGAAGGAAGTGGGATTGCTACCCCAACTACCGAGGCAAACAATTTTGAGATAAGGTCCGCCCTTATCACCTTGATATAAAGTCACCAATTCTTGGGGTAAAACATGAGGACCCCATTTCTCATCTAAAATAATTCACACGGTATTGTAGCACCGTGAAGGCGAATGGTATGACTCCCGATTACATCTTATTGAGCATGTTCAAGTTCTCTCTCTCCGGGAAGGCAAGTGATTGGCTCGATAGGTTGCCTCCTAACTCATTGACAACATGGAATGAGGTAACTTCGACGTTCCTTGGGAGGTTCATTCCTCTTGGGAAAACGGCGGAGTTGAGATCCAAAATATCAAATTTCCAACAAGAGCCCGATGAGTCTCTCTATGATTCTTTGGAGAGATTTAAGAGCTATCAACAATAATGCCCACAACATGGCATAGAAGATTGGCTCTTGCTACATGGATTTTATAGGGGCCTCTTGAGATCGGACCGTATACTATTGGATAGGACATCGGGTGGACCACTCATGAACAATCCACCAACGGAAGCGCTTAAATCATTGAAGATGTAGTTCAAAACTACACCGATTGGAGTGCCGATGAGAGGAGCGCTTCTAAGAAAGGAGAAAGGTATGAAGTTAATGCCATAAATATGCTTAGTTCAAAATTAGATGCTTTGTCTTCTAAATTTGATCAATTGCAATCTTCTCCCCCTCCTATCTCCCCTCTCCATAACTCATATGCATCTAATTCTTCAAATGATAATGTGTCTATGCAAATGATGTCTTGTGATGTGGGGTGATGAAGACCATATGTCTTCCGAGTGTCCTTTGTTGAATGAGCAATGTTCCCCTTCCCCTTCTATGGAACAACTAATAATGTGCATGCCAACCCTACGTATAACCCCTACTCCAACACCTATAATGAGGGACGGAAACATCACCCCCAATTTTGGTTGGAGAAGTGGCCAAAACCAAGGGCAAAGTAGTGGTCAAGGGAATGCGCAACATCAAGGTCAAGCTAGTGGTGGTGGTAACTACGTGTCTAATAATCAAAGAAACTATAGAAATGACAATAGGTACCAACAAAAAGGCCAATACACTTCACTCACAACCCACCCGGTTTTAATGGAGGCGTAAGACCAACTTTAGCTCCTATCCCTTGACCACCACTCCAAATTTAAGCTCCCCTCATTCTATGTCTAATTTAGAAAGCATGATGGAGCAATTCATCAATACCCAAACTAAAAAGACAAATGACTTAGAGGAAAGCTTAAAATAAATGCTAACCCACAACAAAATGTTGGAAAATCAAATGGCCCAAATAGCTAGTGCTCTTAAGGGTAACTCTAGTACTTCATTGCCTAGTCAAGGTCTAGATCCTAGGGAGAAAGCTAATGCCATTGTATCCAGAAGTGGGAAAAACTTGGGGGAAGTCCAAGGGAAGGGTATGCAATGTGACTTAGAAGGTGAGAAGTCAAAAGAAAGAGTGATTGAGATGAGTGATTCCCGTGGAGAGTTGAGAGTTGAAAAAGAGAAAGAAAAAGAGAAAGAAGAAGAGAAAAACAAAGGGAAAGAAGTTGAAAAAGAAAAAAAAGAGAGTGAAATCCCACTACATGTGGCAAAACTTCATTTTCCGGGAAGGTTTGCCGGGTCTAGACTTGATGAACAATTTGCTAAATTTTTAGAAGTCTTGAGAATGCTCTATGTTAACATTCCATTCACCGATGCTATAAAAAATATGCTAACTTATGCTAAATTTCTTAAGGACATCTTGAGTAATAAAAGAGATGTTGTGATGCAGGTGCATGGAACTTGGTGGAGGAAGTTGAAGAAGTGCCACGTGTTGTGACACATAGCCGTGCTAAACTACTTGGTGGTCACCTCTCGGGGTTGACTACCATCAAACTTGAGTAAGTTTTGTTTTCTTATAATAAAGCTCTTAGGATTCCATGTGTTAGCTAAGAAAGAAACTTATCAATGTATGATGTAACTACTTCATTTAGCCATATCTTCTTCGTTACAAGGAGTTTTCAGGTGATTCAAATTGGAGGTGAAAGTAAAGTCCAAGAGCATTCCAACGACTAGTGACATGCCCAATTTGAGTGAGAATTGAAGAAGTTATGAGCGTTTGGAATCAAGCTATAAATAGGGCTCCCCTTTGGCTGCCCTTTGAAACCCCAGGAGCAACTGCTCTGCCCTTTTGAGCGACCGCTCCATCCAGAATTGGGATTTTTGGCAGAAGCTTTGGAGCGACCACTCCCATCTATGGAGCGACCGCTTTAAGACCCATGTTTCGAAGCGGATTTGTTCTTTCTTTTTGTTTTCTTAGCTTGCTTTAATCTTGGCCTTTCATTTATAATCCAAAGGGTGTAATTTAAGAACTCTAGGGTTGTTTTGTAATGCCTATAAATAGGGCTAACTTGCTTTTGGTGACAACTTTTGCTTAATTTTTGAATCTCATGAGATTTTCTCTCTTTACCCATAATCTTTGTGATTATTTGCTATCTTTGTGACTGCTAATTTGTAATCTTTGTGGTTACACCTTAATTCTAGCTTTACTTTGTGTTGGCTTTGATTAAGAACTCTTATTTCATAGATCTTGGTGATTGTTGAGATAGGTTTATCTTGTTTTGTTGATTTGAAATTGTTATTAGTTGATTTCCCCCTCTTTTCTTGGTTGTTTCATATCAATTTGGTATCAAGAGCCTAGGTTATTAACCTAGAAAGATCCTACCTTTTAAATATCATCTCTTCCCCCCTCTCAAAAGATCTCATCTTTTTCCCACAAAATTTGAATTTTTACTCTCAAAGATACAAACTTTCTATATTGAAATATGGATGATAGATACTATTACGAAGATATGAAAGTTACAATGAGCACTCTAGATTGGATGCTCCAGAAAGGAAATTTTATAGACTTGAAGTCTTGGAGACACTAGTAGAAAAATTGAAAAAGGCACCCCCTTTTTCCCACCGGTTTTTAAAAACCGGTGGGAAAAGATTTGGGCGGGATTCGGATATTTACTTTTCGCACCGGTTCCTTTGAAACCGGTGGCAAATGTATGTTTTCGAACCGGTTCGAATCGGTGCTAAATGTGTTGTTTAAAAAAAAAAGGGTAAATGGATATGCCATCGGTTCAACCCAAACCGGTGGGGAAAATACGCAAATTTAAAAAAAAACCGTGAAATACTCTTCTTCTTCAATTCCTTCAGCACGAACAATTTCATTCCCCTGCTTCCCCTTCAATTAATCTTCTCTCGTTCTCGCCTGCCCTCACCATCTCCTTCACGCATAGGTTGTCCTCCATTGAAGCGCATTCCCTGGGCTTTCTCACCTCCATTGCCGCGCAACTCCTCTCTTTCTCTCCATAATAGGTATCTCCTCCATTGAAGCGCATACTGTCGAGCTTTGTGACCTCCATTGAAGCGCATTCCGAGCTTTCTAACTCCATTGTAGCAGCTTCGAGGTAAGAAATATTTTGTGGTCTTCCTAGTCTATTGAATAGCTTCGCAATCTAGGGTTAGTCGTTGATTTAGGGTTTTCTGTTCTTTGTGGTTTGGTTTTGTGACTTTAATTTCGAGTTGTGCATTCAACAATAGTTCATTGTTTTAGGGTTTTTTGTTCTTTACGGTTTGCTTTGAGATTTTGGGTGGATTTTCCTATGCTTAAAATGTGAACATGGATCGAATGACTTTCTTCAATACAATCTTTGATGTTGTGTGTGGTCTTTTGTCTTTATCCACCAATATTATGTTTGCAAATCATGTAGCTTCCATTAATTGTTATGGCTACTGCTCCTTGTTCACTGTCTTTTTGTTCGGTGTTAAGTTGTGTGTTAAATTTATTATTTCTGCCTTCATGGAATTCTGTTGTAAAATAGTTCAAACCCTCTGTTACTGTTAGTTATACTTCCTCTTTCAGGGAATATAATCATAAAAAATAAAAATTGGTACTGTTATAAAATTGGCATGATGAAGGCGATATGCTATACTTCCTCTTTCAGGGAATATATTTTGTTGATCATTGAATAGGTTTGCCTATTTGGTATGCTTGATCATTTGAGTTGATTGATTACCAATTTTTTCGAATTCGGTTTTTTGTTTGGTTTGATTCTTGTTGAGCATGCAATTGCTTATTGGCTGTTGACTAATCGGTGATGAAGTTAGCTGAATATAAAGGTTTTGCGCTATTCAAAATTTTCAAATTAGGGTATTTTTTGGTTTGATTCTTGAGCATGCCGTTTTTTGTTAGCTGTTGAATATTTGGTGATCAAGTTGGCTGAATAAAAAGGTTTCGGTTAATTGATGTTTGATCTATTGGCTCATTGCTTATAAAATTCTTCAAACTTAGGGTTTTTGGTTTGATTTTTGATTATTAGAAAGGCTTGCAGGATTGGTGTTTGATCTCTAGAGCTGTTATGATTTAACGTTTTGTCTGTTGCTGCACTGTCCTTTGTTACATAAAAATGTGGCAGAGTTTTGAGCAGCTACTTTTGCAGTTTTTTCAAGCTTGTGAATATTACCAGTTATCACCAAAAATTATCCACAAACCTATCTTAACCAAAAAAAATTTGGGTAAACATATAAATTCTATATAAATAATCTGATATTGTAGTTTGTTTGACTTGGTATTAAGTAATTTCTGATTAGTGATTAATTTTACGAATATTATTATTGTTAATGGTGCTTTTTAGTGACTAATATGGCTAACTACCCGTACACCGGCACTTGCAAAGGAAAAAATTGCCTTGCGGTGAGGAGATGGGTATATGATTGAAGTTTGAGGTTTGAAGTTATCATAATCAGTTGATTTATTGGTGGAATTTCCTTTGCCTTGACTTGCTTCTTTGCTGTTAAGTTATTGGTGATCAAGTGGGTTATTTGCTAAAAGGTTTGCTTATTACTGGATATTTCTTTTTATTTGGTCATGTGGCTATTTCTTGACAGTTGAATTATTGATCATCAAGTTGGTGTTGTGTCAATTGTTTCTTCTATGAAGCATTTGGTCTAAGGTGGTGTAGTGCTCTGCAGATATGTAAGTGCTATCCAGGTAGTGCTTCTCCTAAGATTTTATTGTTATTTGTTATTTAGTTAAAATCAAGTCATGGAATCTCTTGGTCCATTATACCAGCGATCACATGGCCACAAAATTGCACTTCAAACTTCTGAGACAGGCTAAGGAACCTTTTCTTACGACTTTATACCCGTTATTGTCTTCTTTAGGTCATTTATTTATTACGGGGTAATGTTGAGTTGTTATTTTGTTGGATAGATATCACATCTGTGTTGCATGCTTGCTGAAGATTACAATGATTCATTTCTACTGTGCTTTCTCTACATCTAGTATGGCAATAGGAAAATTCATTTGTTAACTATTTCTTTTTTGTGAGTTAATTAGTTTCAGCTGCCTGGTATGTGTGCTTATCCTTATTATGATCATTTACTCACACTATCAAAGCTATGGAGCCATTTTTCTCTATTTTACTATCTGCTGCATTTTTGGGAGAGGTATATTTCACATAATTTTCATGTGTTTATTTTTTCATACATAGAATTGTTGAAATGTGAAAGATTCTCTGATGAGTAGGATTAGACATTGTTTAGCCAGTGGTTGAAGTATTTATTATGTTTTCGCTTGTGATTCAATTTATGTGTGGGTTAATTTTCATATCCTTCATTGCGGAATCCCACTCCTTGGGTTGTGCTTTCACTTCTTCCCATTGTTGGAGGGGTGGCTCTTGCATGTGTGACTGAAGCCTCTTTAAACTGGTCAGCGAATTAACTTTATGACAAGATTTTATGCTTCCTATTTCCAAGGATCCCGCTGGGTTTTCAGCATGAGTATTATCTGAACCATTTGCTTATTGTGTTTTTGTTTTCATGAAGGGCTGGTTTTTGGAGTGCTATGGCTTCTAATGTGACAAACCAATCCCGTAATGTCCTTAGCAAGAAGGTCATGGTAAAGAAAGAGGTAATTCCTTTTTCTTTTTTTTTGGATTGGTTTTTCTTACGTATTGAGAAAGCTTCATAATGGGGAATGTCTTACCTTTTCCTGTTTCTTGGTGTAAGAGTAGTTTTCTTTATTTTGCACAGTACATACAATACATTGATATTCTTAATCATTTGTTTGATTGATGTTTGAGAGTTTGAGTTAATTTCATTATTTTTCTTTGACAGGAATTAATGAACAATATTACACTCTTCTCCATAATAACAGTTATGTCCTTTATACTATTAGCCCCTGCGATTATTTTCATGGAAGGTGTCAAATTTACTCCTACATACATAGAAGCTGCTGTAAGTGTACCCTCCTGTAGCTCTTCGTTTTGGCCTGTCGGATTTTTGCAGACTAATCCTCGTTATGTATTTGCTTATTCATTTTTTCTGTTTTGGTAGGGATTGAATGTCCAACAACTATATACAAGGTCCTTGGTGGCTGCTCTTTGCTTCCATGCTTACCAGCAGGTAACTCCCCCCCCCCAACACACACACAAATTTTGTAATTGTGTTGTTTTTGCTATTGCAGAACATTTTCCTTATAAACTGTACTGTATCTTGAATCTTGACATGCTTTTAGCATCATATCTTTGCAATGCCGCGTCTCAATCTCATGGAATTGATGATTTGTTGTTGCATGCTTATTGTGTCTGCTTTTGTAACTTTTGTTTCTTTTGTGTCTGCGGAATTAGTTTTACATGGTAGAATGTAGGAGCCTATGAATTGTTCGTATATTGGAGCCATTGTCAATATCTGTATTTATAGTCTTTCATTCTTAATATGTGATTGTCTTTGCTATCATGCTGCTGGTGCTGATTCTTTTTGCTATCATGCAACTCTGGAGCCCGCAGTGATCGAAATAAAGAATGTGATTACAGCAGCATCAGATGCAAAGGTGAAGCGCGTTGTGTTGACATCTTGAATTCTTCTTGTTGAACTATGATCCTCAGTTTACTTAAAATAAAGTGAAATTAGGTTCTTTCATCATCTCAGGCTTCTTACACTAGTAGAACCTGTTTTCATTGCAGAACCTGGTTTGTGCCAAGAATTTGGTGATAGACAAGAGCATCCAAACAGCATACATTGAAGCAATCAGATCTGCTCAACATTTCATTTATCTCACTCAACTATTCTTTTAATATATAGATTTATTTCCCTTCCATTTTCTAGAACTCACAACTCGATTCTTTTCTTTTAATTTATGTGAGAAATGGTATGCATACTTTGCTATGAGTTAATTAATATTATCTCTTATCCAATTTGTGAATGATAGCAATTAACTAAATTGGAGTGCCATAACCAGTGCCTTCTATCGAGGAATTGTGGGTGCTTTGCTTGCGTATGATGTCACCTGGAAAGTTACATTTGAGAATGCTGCAAGGTGGTTGAGAGAGCTACGGGAGCACACTGATCAGAATGTTGTTACTACTGATGAAGGGAAGGCTTTTGTAGAGCAGGAGGGTCTCGTCTTCATGGAGACTTCTGCTCTTGAAGCAACCAATGTGGAGCTGGCTTTCACTGAGGTTAGATCCATTGTATCGTTAGCAAGAAGGCTGTTGATGCTGGTGATGCTTCTGCATCGGCTGTTCCATCCCAACGAGAGAGTATAAATATAGAAAATGAGACCTTAGCTTGGAAGAAGATAGGCTGCTGCTCATACTAGTTACTTACTATAGTAAGTCTTTGCTGTCACACCTTTTTGTTTCGCTGGAAAAAATCCTAACTGGTTGAACTTCTGCTGGTCAGTTCCGTCACTTGAAAGAAAGAAAGAATAGGAATTTTCATTGTCTATATTATATTTTATTTTTTAGACAAAAATTGTAATATTATAGCCTTTTTTAGTCAAAATATGTAACTTTATATATATGTTAATGTTTATACATCAATTTAAGTGAAAAAAATGCAAAAAAAAAAAAAATTTATTTTTTTTGGGCACTTTTGGCACCGGTTTTGCAAAGAACCGGTGCTAAAAGTTTTTAAAAAATATTTTTTGGGACTTTTAGCACCGGTTCTAAGTTAAAACCGGTGCGAAAAGTTCAGTTTTTGGCACCGGTTTTCCACAAGAACCAGTGCTAAAAGTCATTTTTCCCACTGGTTTTGAACCGGTGCGAAATATATGGGTTTTAGCACCCCCAAATCCGGCTCGGTTCAAAACCGGTGCGAAATGGGGGGTTTGAACCGGTGGGGAATTCGAATTTTCGCCTAGTGAGAATAGAAGAAGGAGAAGTCCAAGTGGAGAAGATGACTCTCACTCTTCTCACCGGAGAAGGGAACACCACCAACGACATCATGAGGACAACTGTGACCGAGACATCAAGTTGGAATTTATGGATTTTGAAGGTAATCTTCATCCTAATGAATTTCTTGATTGGGTTAGAAGCATGGAGAATATGTTTGAATATAATGGTTATAATGATGAAAATCGTTGCAAATTGGCCATCCTAAAACTTAAAAAATAATGCTTCTTTGTGGTATGAGAACTTAAAGAAACGTAGAAGGAAAGGTGTAAAATCAAAAATCACTTCTTGGGAGAAATTGAAGAAACATATGAATAGAGCTTTTGTTCCTAGAGATTATTTGCAAGATTCTTATCTTAAATTGAACTCTCTCAAGCAAGGGACTATGTTGGTAGAGAAGTATACTAGGGAGTTCGAAAAGCTCTCTATTTTGAGTGGAATTGAAGAAGTCCCGGAGCATAAGATTGCTAGGTACATTGGTGGTCTTGAGAGAAAGCTTGGACAAAAGGTTGATGTTCATGTCCATGGAAGTTTTGATCATGTTGTGCAAAAGGCTTTGAAGTTTGAGAAGTATGACAAGATAAGTAGTGCTAGTGGGTATTCTAAACCTACCTTCAAGAGTCCTTTTGCTCCGAAGGGTGAGACAAGCAAGCTCAATGCCGAGGATGACAAAGGCAAGAATCCCATGCATTCTTCTAGCAAGGATGACCAAAACAAGATGAGCAATAGGAAGGTTTGCTACAAGTGTAGAGGTTATGGATATTTTGCTAATGAGTGTCCTAATAGTAAAGCTATGATAATTCGTGAAATGGATGATGATGAATACGAAGATGAGACGAAGGATTTCGAGGACCCTATATATGATGAGGAGGATGAGGTTGTAGTAGAAGCCGATGAGGGTCAAATCCTTGTTGTTAGAAGGGCACTTCACTCCATTTCCACTCCTTTGGCGGAAGAGTAAAGGGAGAACATTTTCCAAACTCGTTGTACCATCAAATATCGAGTTTGCAACCTTATCATTAATAGTGGCTCTTGCACTAATGTGGCTTCAAAAACACTAGTGAGCAAGCTCAATCTTGACACTACCGATCATCCTACTCTCTATAAGCTTCAATGGCTTAATAATCACAATGAGGTGAAGGTACCAAAACAAACTCTTCTTTCTTTTTCAATTGACAAATTGTATAAGGATGAGGTGCTTTGTGATGTGTTGCCTATGGATGCTTGTTATGTTTTACTTGGAAGGCCTTGGCAATTTGATAGAAGTGGATTGCATGATGGAAGAAAAAACACTTATTCATTCATGATGGATAAGAAGATTGTACTCAACCCCTTGTCCCCCACAATTAAACACAAAGAACCCTTGGGTATGGGAAACACAATAAAAGAGAACCTTCTCATTGGGGAAAATGAGATGCGAAAGGAGATAAATCAATGGAAAATTGTCTTAATTTGTTTGTCGTCTTAGGGAAACACAAGAGAGTGAGCGACAGAACCTAATCTACCCCCTTATTAAGGAAGTGTTGGTTGAGTACCAAGATGTTTTCCTTGATGATCTCCCACCCGGTTTGCCACCTATTAGGGGAATTGAGCATCAAATTGATCTTATTTCGGGATCACAACTCCCTAATAGACCGGCTTATAGATGTACCCCCGATAAAGCAAGAGAACTTCAAAGACAAGTTGATGAGTTGATGGAAAGAGGATTTGTGAGGGAATCCCTTAGCCCTTGTTCGGTTTTGGCTTTTTTGGTTCCGAAAAAGGATGGTACATGGAGGATGTGTGTGGATAGTAGGGCCATCAACAATATTATAATTAAGTATCGGTTTCCTATTCCCCAACTTGATGATATGATTGATAAATTGCATGGTTCCAAGGTGTTTTCAAAGATTGACTTGAGGATGGGGTACCACAAAATTTGTATGCATGAAGGAGATGAATGGAAAACCGCTTTTAAGACAAAGAAAGGCTTGTATGAGTGGTTTGTAATGCCATTAGGGCTCTCAAATTCTCCTAGCACTTTCATGAGACTCATGAATGAGGTACTTCGCCCCTTTATTGGTAGATTTGTTGTTGTTGTTTATTTTGATGATATACTTGTTTATAGCAAATGTGAACTTGATCATGTTGAACATTTGAAGCAAGTATTTGAAACATTGAGAAGTTGGAGGCTTTTTGCCAAGCTAGCTAGAAAAATATGTTTTTATGGTGGATAGTGTTGTTTTTCTTGGCTATGTGATTTCTAATGTAAGGATCTCAATGGACCCTAGTAAGGTGAAATCCATTTAATCTTGGCCTACTCCTACCACTCTCATCCAAGTTAGGAGTTTCCATGGCCTAGCTTATTTCTATCGAAGATTTGTGAAGAATTTTAGCACTATTTTAGCTCCGGTTACCGAATGCATGAAGTAGGGAACTTTTGAGTGGACACCGTCAGCTCAAAAGGCCTTTGAGACTCTCAAGAAGAAATTGTGTGAAGCTCCAATCTTGGCTCTACCCTTTGAGGTTGAATGTGATGCTAGTGGAGTTGGAGTTGGGGCGGTACTTGTTCAAGGAGGGAGGCCGGTTGCTTATTTTAGTTAGAATCTTGGTGGGGCAAGAACGATATTTAGTACATATGACAAGGAGTTCTATGCAATTGTGAGGGTTCTTGATCATTGGTCACATTACTTGAGGCCTAAACCATTTGTGCTACATTCCAATCATGAATCTCTCTATCAATGGTTCTCATAAGCTCAATGCAATACATGCCAAATGGATTGAATTTCTCCAATCTTTCACTTTCTTTTCTAAGTACACGGAAGGGATGAGCAATGTTGTGGCCGATTCTCTTTCTAGGAGACATTGTATGATCACTATTCTTGATGCGAAGTTTTTGGGGTTTGAGTTGCTTAAAGAGTTGTATGGTGATGATGAGGATTTTGGTGAGTTGATGAAGAAGTGTGAGGATGGGATCAATGGTTCTTTCATGATGCAAGAAGGTTTCCTTTTCAAGGGAACAAGCTTTGTGTTCCAAAGTGTTCTCATCGAAAGTTACTTGTGAAAGAAGCTTATAAAGGAGGCCTTGCCGGACACTTTGGGGTTGCAAAAACGTATGATATCCTTTGAGAACATTTTTATTGGCCTAAAATGTTTGGTGATATGCAAGATGTAATATCTCGTTGTGGGGCTTGTCATAAGGCTAAGAGTTAATTCCATGAAGGACTCTACTCTTCTCTTCCGGTTCCTAGTCACCCATGGGATGATCTTAGTATGGATTTTGTGGTTGCGCTCCCTCGCACTCCAAGGAAAAATGATTCCGTGTTTTTTGTGGTGGATCATTTTAGCAAGATGGCTCATTTCATTCCTTATCACAAGACCGATGATGCTTCTCATGTTGCTACCTTGTTCTTTAGAGAAGTGGTGAAGCTTCATGGTATTCCAAAAAGCATTGTGTCGAATCGAGATCCTAAGTTCTTGAGCTACTTTTGGAAGACCTTGTGGAAGTTGGTAGGAACCAAAC